TTTTCAATCTATCGTCATAAATGACATTGCTTAATCTGTCTTAGTTCTTAAAAATTTGGCCATTTGAAAATGGTTCTATTGCCAAGAGAAGCCAAGAAAATCAATAGACGAGTTAACGAAATTATAAGCTAAGTCTCTCAGACGAAGCAAATGCTCCTCAGAATAAGGTAGATATTTAACTAACTGGGAAAAGAGCATTTCAAAATCCCTAAATACTTCGGTTTTCTCAATTTCTTCCGGGGTGTTGGGTATACAAAAATCCAAACCCCGGGACAGGACTATCTTATCAGAATCTGACAAGCAATAATTGGATAGATTACAAATATGCCTGTCCGTAGCGACGTAAGAACCAAATTTTTTTTAATCAAGAAATTCAAATATGCCTAATTTCTATCTCTGTTTTATTACTAACAAAAATGTGACCTTTAGACAGCTATTTAGAAAACCAAATCTTATCAAGAGATATGCGACAGACAGTGCCCCGTATTGCCCGATACTGGGCTCTCGTACATCAGAAAAGTACAGAGATTCATCTCAAATGAATAACATGATTTTGCGAGCAAGAATTCAAAAATTAATCTTATAAGAAAGGATCCGTAACTTGCCTCTCAACAGGATAGAATTATCGAGGGTCTTAGTATATGTGTGGCCATATCGATCCCAAAAATAGATTATTATTTCCAATGATCTTATTGTAGCTTCTAGAAAAAAAAGATTATTAATAAATAATAATTCCACTTGGATAAAAAGTTACAATGATATCTTTGACGTTGCTATGGGCACCTATGACTTCGCTCAATAGCTTATTTAGTGGGCAATCTATATATTAGATACTCTTAGTAGGATTATTGATCCTAAACATTGATTTTTAGAGAGTTGATGGACTTATTTTCATCCTAGATAGTAATAGTCCATTATCTTCTAGAATACAGAAGAAGGTTATAAGGGATTTCAATTTCCTTGGTTTTAAAATTGAAAAATCATCTAACCTTAAAATATTTCTTAGATATCAATTTTAACACATATAAGCCATTTCAAGATGACAATTAAACTCATATTTATATTAATGTCAACTCTAATCACCCAAATCCAATAATTAAACAAATAGAGAATAAATTAACTTACAACAAAAATTAATTTAACAGGAATCTTTGAAAGACAATAAAACTAATGGGATCAAAAACAGAAAAAGAAAAATAATATGATTTAACGCACCTTTCTGCAAACTGTCTAATGTAAATATTGGCAGTTATTTTCTGAATTTAATCGATAAACATTTTAATCACAACAGCCCTATATAAAAGATTTTCAATTGAATTATTCTAAAAATTATTTATTCCTTTAATAGACGCTCTGTATTTTAAAGAGTGATCACAGGCTTGCGCACTCGAGAAAACCTAATAAACAAATTGTGTTCTCCGGCAGGATTGATTTGGATCATGCTTTGACCGCTTTCACACTCAAGTAAGCCTAGATTTGTCTTAATGCACCTTCACTCGTTCAGATTTGATCGAAAGACATATCTGATCGGTTTCATACTCGAAACGTAATCAAAGCATTGTCTAAAGAATTAATGGATTTAATTTTAATCCGTCATATATCTATTATTTCAAACGTTATTTTTAGTTGTTTACCATATCTGAATTTTTATACCGTCTTTTATCCATTTAGCCACTTGTGCATTCCAGAAAACCTAGGAAAACATTTGTAGAATATATATATATATATATACATATATATATATATATATATATATATATATATATATATATATATATATATATATATATATATAAAGGACAGTACGATGTATAATCCAGTGTTATGTATGTATACTGGACTCTCCGGTCGTTTCCCACGTATGAGGGTCAAGGAGATCCGTTTCAAGGAACCGATTGCCAGACCCATGCGCATATGTTTCGATTATAGTGGTGAAGTCTTTGTGCAGAACCATGCACACTTTTTGAAGGGCCGAATACAGAGATCTGGTGCACAATGTGCCAGTAGGTCGCTAAATTACTCTCCGTAGGTTTTGAATACAGAGTTGTCCTTTTCCTTGATCAGTTGCCGTCCAAGGCTATAGAATCCAGTTTGCCCTGCAATTTTCATATCGTTTAACATTCCAAATTTTGACATCTTATAGACTAGATCATTTAGTCATATATCATAAATGATCCACACACACAGACACGTACACACAGAAACTTGCACAGACACACACACACACACACACACACGCACACACACACATATATATATAAAGTACTATAAACCCAATATTAATAGGAAACAATGAATAAACACTACTTATGTTCAAAGGTTCGACGAGAAATATGACACACACACAACACAAACACACACGACACAAGAACACACACACACGACACAAGCACACACACACACGACACAAACACACAAACACACAAACACACACACACACGACACAAACACACACACACACACAGACATAGTTGTGCAATTATAAAATAGTTATAGCATTCTTATTTTAACATGGAACTTGATCATGTGTAATGAAGGTAAAAGGTTAAGCTATTTTCGCTTTGTAGCTTAATCTTTCATTAACTTCGCTTCTCACATGATGCTTAAAAGCAAATGGCCTTGTATCAGACTTATTTTAGTAGAAAAGTTCAAAATGTCTCAACCCGCAACGACTATTAAAAATCAGAGTTAGATTCTCATTTGTTGACATATTTATAGTCTTGTGTCAGATTAAGGGAAGTTTCAAAACGTAATTTTTTTGTTGTTGTTGTGTGGTAATGGCTTACGAGCTCAACTAGCAGATTATTACTATTGTTTTGTATATTTATTCCAGTATTCCATATATGTGGATTTTTACACGACTCGGCTTAATGTGTCGGTACCATTAAAAATGATCTTGCATCCATATGTCTCATGCCATATTATGAAGATAACGATCTCCATTTCTCTGAAATAATTCTTAGCCATTAAATAATCCGTCATAAGTTCATTTGGTCTAAGTGTAAAAGATACCATTAGCAAGATGCCGTCCCGACATTCACGCCACGAATGAGAAAATCTATTGGGTTAATTAGTGAACGAGTCAAAAATTGTCATCGATTTTTTAATAACAAATAACCTGACCGTCTGATGGGAATGTCTTTGCCTCGTCTCTGCTGATCACCTTGAAAATAATAGAAGTGCAACAAAATGACCTTTTCCGGTTAGTACCTCATTAGTTTCCGAGGTTGATATCACCGGACAGATGATTGGACTAGTTTTTTTTCTCATCTTTAAGGATATTTTGGAGGAATATACATGTTAGCTATTGATTGTTGCTTATATTCCATTCATGCCTCTTCAGGCACGTATATATATATATATATATATATATATATATATATATATATATATATATATATATATATATATATATAATTATTATTATCCGTGAAAATGATCACGTATATATTATTTGTAAATATTCTTTTTGTGGCATCAAAGTACTGTATGGTTGGCAGCAAAAGAGACAGGCCAAGTTGTGTTCTACGTATCAGGGATGTCAAAATGAAGACGCGGAGGATATTGCAGCAACAAACTGCGGAAATTGCAACAGACTGTGAAAGATTGAAGCTATAAAAAAGAGAAAGACATCTTTCACAAGCTAAGTAAATTATTAAGATACAGGAAAAAGTAATGTACTGATATGTGATATCTAATCTTTTCTATGGAAGAGAATTTCAAAAAATCTCCTGACAGATGATTTACTGATTGATTGATTTGTTTTTTACGGCTTATGAACTTGTTGTAAGTCATTTAAACCCGAAACCTATTTTGGACTTAAAAATAATTCTTTTTTTTAACGAGTGAGTATATTGATATTAATAATGATTTTTTCTACTATTTAATCGAAACCTGGGATAGGAGATTCATATCTTTCACAAGGCTATTAGTGCGTAAGTGATTTATATCAAACCCGACTAGAATTCGAACTCTGCTAACTGAGTTCCCATTCTATGCAGATATCTATTCATCACTCGCGCCTCACACTACAGATAAAGAAGAGACATGATATGGCAGAAATGTGCTTCTACCATTGATGGCCACAGAATTTGAGTAAAGAGGGTGTTTTAAGGACAGCGAGAATTACAAAGAATTACAAAGAAACTCTGCTGCTAACAATCACAAGAAGCATAATGAGGAAAGAAAGCTTGGATTATTTAACACTCAAAGAGTGGGATTAAGGCAAGATGCATCTGAGAACGGAAAACTGACGTAGCTGACTTGATGAGTTTAATAGAATGAATTGTATAGCAAGGTTAATAAAAATGTCAAAACTGCAGAAGTTACAGCAACAGAAAACATATCATATATCCTCGTGTATCCTGTGACATTTGAAGACCTAATTATGAAACTAATATTAAGGGGGGGGCATCATAAATGGGCTATAAAATTAGCGTAGGTACTGCTGGCCCTGGCCACGCCATTGACCAAACTATATATCCATTTACTGTATATATATATATATATATATATATATATATATATAATACAATATATAATTTATTATATAAATTAAGCATTACTCTTCAAGTAAATTGAACTGAGTTCTCCGAGCCGCTGGCGTATTCCGTATAGAGAAAACGTTAAAATTCCTTTCCTTTCTGCCGTGCGACGATCGCCTAAATGGAAGATATATGACTGATATCGGCTTGCATTCTGTCGGTGGATGAGTATTTACAATAAGGTTCACTCTGTACAATGAACTGGGGCCACTCGAGGTAGAGGATTACGATAACTGGTAGTTTATACGGATAGGAGGAGTAGAAAATGGTTAACTCTAGACTTGAACAGGTTAAGATTGACGTGATAGGGGAAACATCCAATTGCGAGTCTGTTCCACAGGGCAGTGATTTGCAGGAAGAAGCTGTTCGAGTGGGACTTCTTATTCGTTGAAATACAGAGGAAATGTGGATGGTTTACTACAATGTAAATGGCACAGCGGATCCCAGCCATGAATATTAGAGACTGGCGGAACCAAGGAATTTTGTGTGTTCGAGATAGAGAGAGAGAGAGAGAGAGAAAGAGAGAGAGAGAGACAGACAGACAGAGAGAGAGACACAGAGAGATAGAGAGAGAGAGAGACAGAGAGAGAGAGACAGAGAGAGAGAGACAGAGAGAGAGAGAGAGAGAGAGAGACAGAGACAGAGAGAGAGACAGAGAGAGATAGAGAAGTTGGAGTGTGGACTCGGAAAAGTTTTTGAACTTTACCGAGGCTGAAAAATAACGACTGGGCGGATTTCGCCCAAATATGACAACAGAATTCCATTTTCGGCCTAATCTGGCTCTTATAAAGGTAGAAGATAGCAGGTTTAGTTTGGTTTGTTTTACGGCATATCAACCTCAATGGGTTATTTAATGCAGACAAATTTTTTGTTGGTACTATTTTTTTCAAAATTCTATTTGTAGTAATATTTTTTCTTCAAAAATCGATTTCTGGTAATAATTAAGCAATTAAAAGATGTTTCCACGTTCCTCAAAACCTCCTGATCAGAGGCCTTGATGTTGGACGTAGTTTATCGTCTTACCCAGGACGCGGATGTAGTTTATCATCATACGCAGGACGTGGAAATAGTTTATCGTCTTACCCGGGACGCGGATGTATCTTATCGTCATACCTAGGACGCGGATGTTAGTTTATCGTCATACTCAGGACGCGAATGTAGTTTATCGTCTTACCCAGGACGGGAAGATAGCATGAGGAGTCAGGTACTTACTGGGGTGATACAAGTTACCGACCATTTTATCTGCATCTTTATTTATGTATTATATATACAGGAACTTTACCAACTATTATTCCTACCTCTGCAATAGAATCAGATCTTATAGGATATACATACAAAATTTACATGAAGAAGAAATAGTTATAGCCAATTCTAAAACCTTTCAATATCTTTATTATTTAATGCACAATGTTAAAAGAAGAGAATACAAAATCTTACGCCCTTCTAATACCTCACAAATAATGGACTACTCCTTTTTGGTCGCGCGGAAAGAGTGTAAAAGAAACTTAGTGAGAAAATGAGAGAAAGAAAGAAGGGAAAATATAAGTGAGGAGAGAGAATCAGATTAAGCCGATAAGAACAGATACTACATTTTGATCTTAGCCAAAAAGCAGAGAAGCCATTGCATTTTATTATCGCCCAACTCTGTCAGGCTGTGACAAGAATGTGGGGAGCCCTGGCGTATGCAACAGGTTCAGGTCCCAAAATAGCCTAACCCCTGAACCCTTTAGTTAGGTTGGGATCGGTATTACTAGCAACTCCACCTCTTTACTACAATAAGGGAATTACCGCTACGGGCAGATGTTTCCCTGGCAAGACCGAGCACCTCTCAATAATATTTTCACCTGCGCTCTTACCGCAGACAGAAACATAACTGAGCGATAAAATATCATTTATCTACCCGAGGGCAGATACTACACTTTGATCCCAGCCACGCTGTCAGGATGTGACACAAGGTCAGTTTAATGTAGGGTTTTCGAGCGCGTGCGACTAGCTCATATCCAGAAAAAGACCCCACGACAAACTTCCGTTGCGTTAGGATCGGCATCATTACAGACCCCACTCTTTTGGCGCTATGAGAGGAAGTACTGTCGTACACAGAGACATAACATTGAGATGAATTGTATTTTATCCGCCCGAGGTCAAGTTTATTACACTTTGAGCCTAAGCAAAAGTCAGAAAAGCGTGTATTTTTCAATGCACCCACGTCGCTGCTGAATGTTACACATGGTCAGTTTAGAGTTGGTTTAATGGCAATACCGTGGAAACATTGCCGAAGCCCCTTCTGCACTTACCCTTTTGAGGACGCCTCAGGCGCCGGACAATAAATCCAGCCATCCGGTACTACCTGGTGAGATGCTCCCACCCCCAGTGGCTTGGGTTTAATATTATTTTAACTTCCTCGACCCAAAAGGCCGAGAAGCGATAGCCATGGCGATAATAGCGGTATTTTTTATCTACTATCAACATAACACCTCTTCAATATTATGCATTCATTCTTAATATTAAATTTGTTATACACAGCTATTATGATCAGAACCTAAAATGTCCGGAATAGCATTAATTGTGAAGCAGGCATATATACAATAAACCGTTCTTCTTTACAATATATTTTGGTGAAACTGGAGAAGTTTAGAAAACGTATTTATGAAAGAATTTGTTATAAAAAGAAATAATTCCAACCAAAATTCGATATAAAAATGCTTTACTTATTAAGGGACAAAATAAACTTATTAAGGTAAAAAGTTTTCAAAAAGTCATTTATACATAAATATTCTATTTTTTTTTGATTCTTTAAAAATTATTCCTTAAAAACCAGCGTATTAATGTATGGCCATAAAAGTTTCAAAAAATGAAAAGAAAACGCTTCAGACAAAAACTTTTAGCTTATAAAAACCATGAATAGTAACATCGACATTAATTCACTTTCGCTTGACAACATGCCAAAATTTTACATCACTTAGCGTTCACTGTATATTTTCCCTTTTGGAAAAGGGATGGGATGTCCACATCACCCGTTCCATGCCTGGAGTGGATGATTGAAGGAGAAACCTGTCTTCTGCTCTCGCGTTTCAAGGTGATCTTCCAAGCATAGCTTAGATGTGGCACAAGGCCAAAAGTATGGGGCACCCAGTGAGGATCGACATAGCTTGCTAACCATTACACCGTTTGTCGAAGTCCTTCTGGAGATCCCAGAAAATGAACATCAGTAGTTTTTACTACTCACAACTCTTCTCCTGGAGCTTTTGCACACAGAAGGCCATGTCGACTGTGCATCTCGAAGGCCGGAAACCGCGTTTCCACTTATCTATTCGTCGACCAGCTAGGCGTTCTCATGTAGGCAGCTCTCACGAACACTTTGACTGCGTGAAGCGCCAGGACCCCCAAATATCGGAGCTCTTTCAACTATTCGTTGAAAAGTCCCTCAATGACTCATCGAACGCGGTGACTATCAGCGGAAAATGGCCAAATCTGCCGATTCAATGATATCAGCTGCTGAAGAAGTGCTTGGGTTGCAGAAAAGGAAAAATCAGGACGGGCTTGACGAGCATCAGGAAGAAATTAACCAGTTGATTAATCAAAAACGAGAAGGACGTCTGGCTTTCGAGAATCTTCCTTCAGTTGAAAAGAAAAAAAAAGAATCTATAAGGAGACAACGAAAAACTGCCAAAGAATTCTGTGCAATCCAGAGCACCTGGTGGCGGTAAAAGCAGCAGAAATCCAATACTATTCGGACAATCGGGATATGCGTTGCTTTTAGGCGACCTCGAAGGAAATATTTGACCCTAAATCAACGCCGGCAAGGTTTAACGACTCGGATGAAATCACCATCCTTAATGATTCTGGGTCCATCCTGGACCACTGTTAAAACAGCTTCCAGAGCCTCCTTAACGTCCACGCCAACACACCGGAATACCTCCTGCGAAACACCCCCAACTTCCTGCCCGTCACTGGATGCCACCCTCATTGAATTGAAAGAAGCACTCCACATTATGAAACCGTGAAAAGCTGCCAGACCCGACAGACAGTGTGCCTCTGCAATTTATCGCCCACGGTGACCTAGAATTGAAGAATCGGCTAATACTTCTGATACATAAAATCTTGGAAGATAAAACAATCCCTGAGGACTTTAAAAAATCTAAAATTGTGAAGATCTTCAAAATAGAAGACCGCTCAGTATACGGAAATTAGGGTGCCTTTCCCACCTAATATCGTTGGAAGCGTAAATATTATTAAATCGACTCGTCCCCGGGGCAGAAATGATCCTTCCAGAATGCCAAGGTGGTTTTCGGCACTGCCGAGAGGGTCTTCTGTTTGCAACAGCTCCAGGAAGAGTTTTGAGCAGCCAAAACTAATGATATTCATTTCGAGGGATCTCCAGAAGGTCTTAGACAAAGTCCCAATATGGCCTACTCTTTCCCGCTTTGGTTGTACGGATTGCTTCATGTCTCTGATCCGTATGCTCCACGACGGAATTTAGGGCCGACAAAACCATCGAGGTGTCTTTAAACAGGGCTGTGTGTTAGCTTCGACACTCTTCTCCCTGTACCTCGCCCCTATGATCAACGATATCATCCCCGCCCCGGCATTGACATCCGATACAGATTCGTCTGCGTACTTTTCAATCTCGCCCGACTTCGTTATCGCACAATGATTACCACTACCCGCGTGCGTGAATTTCAGTATTACGATGACAATGAAACTGCGGACCCAACTGTCATTAACCTCCAAATATCGGCAAATCTGTATAATGAGGCCTACATTCAAGATGCAAACCAATGTTAAAAAAGACAAAGATATTCATTCAGCTGGCCCCCAGACAAGCAACACAGTACGTCAGTATCAACAACGCCGAATAACCGATAGAAGTCGTCGGTGAATTTCCCTACTTGGCAGCATAATCTCCAATAATTTCACCTGCGAGAGAGACCATGAGAAAAGGATCAAAGTGGCTTATACTGAGTAAGAACGTTCTCGCATCGGGCCTTCAGCAATCGCAGCCTCTCTATAAAACTCAAAATCATAGTTTTCGGGGCTGTGTTCCTCTCCTCCCTTCTGTACGTTTGCGAGGCCAGCACTTTGTATCGTCGAGACATCAAACATCTGGAATGGTTCCATCAAACGAAGCTCCGAAGAATACTACAGGACAGCATCACCAATCTTTCCCTAGCATCCTTAAACCTCGCCTCCGATGGACAGTTTACATGTCAAGAATGCGTCCCACTCGATTCTCACGTATCATCCCGTTTGAAGAACATGTCAGCGGCAAGAGGCGACGCGGAGGCCCTAAACGGCGCTTCAAAGATCAGTTGAAGACACAGGCCAACATCCACCTTGGAAACCTTGCTGTCGTAGGAACATCCGAGTGGTAGGGGGTCAAGTATATCGAGTCACGTCAACATGAAGAGGATCTGCGACTTGTTGTCAGGACGGTTCGACTAACCCAACCACGTCCACGACCCACACTCCTCTCAGACTCCTATTCACGACTCTTCAGGAGTAAACTGGGCCTTCACAGCCATATCCGTCAACATCCCCAGAGGGGAAAAAGGGGATAAGGAGAGAGGATGGCTATGTGAGCGGGTGGTAACGACGGCAATATGTTTACTTTTCACTCTGATATGTCGGATATTATTTCTTTGGTTTTAGTGCAACAAACAGTTTATCAATTGATTTCTGTTA